GTGGAGTGTGGAGGTGGTGGGGGTGTGTAGGTGGAGGTGGTGGGTGTGTGGAGTGTGGAGGTGGTGGAGGTGGTGGGTGTGTGGAGTGTGGAGGTGGTGGAGGTGGTGGAGGTGGTGGAGTGTGAGGTGGTGGGGTTTGGAGGTGGTGGGGGTGTGTAGGTGGAGGTCGTGGGTGTGTGGAGTGTGGAGGTGGTGGAGGTGGTGGGTGTGTGGAGGTGGTGGAGTGTGAGGTGGTGGGGTGTGGAGGTGGTGGAGGTGGTGGGTGTGTGGAGTGTGGAGGTGGTGGGGGTGTGTAGGTGGAGGTGATGGGTGTGTGGAGTGTGGAGGTGGTGGAGGTGGTGGGTGTGTGGAGTGTGGAGGTGGTGGGGGTGTGTAGGTGGAGGTGGTGGGTGTGTGGAGTGTGGAGGTGGTGGAGGTGGTGGGGGTTTGGAGGGTGTGAAGGTGGTGGGTGTGTGGAGGTGGTGGGGGTGTGGAGGTGGTGGGGGTGGTGGGGGTGTGGAGGTGGTGGAGGTGCTGGGGGTGTGGAGGTGGTGGGGGTGGTGGGGGTGTGGAGGTGGTGGGTGAGTGAAAGTGGTGGGGGTGTGGAGGTGGTGGGTGAGTGAAAGTGGTGGGGGTGTGGAGGTGGTGGGGGTGTGGAGGTGGTGGGGGTGTGGGGGTGGTGGGGGTGTGGAGGTGGTGGGTGAGTGAAAGTGGTGGGGGTGTGTAGGTGGTGGGTGAGTGAAAGTGGTGGGGGTGTGGAGGTGGTGGGGGTGGGGGTGTGGAGGCTAAGATGAAGTTAGGTGGTACTGGGGGGGGGGAAGGTAGTGGAGATGTGGGTGAGGGTGGGTGCAATTAGTTGGGACATATCCTGCCTGGCCGCACGCACTAATTGTGTGTTGGGTGTGAGAACATGGACGGTGGTGGGGGTGTGGAGGTGGTGGGGGTGGTGGGGGTGTGGAGGTGGTGGAGGTGCTGGGGGTGTGGAGGTGGTGGGGGTGGTGGGGGTGTGGAGGTGGTGGGTGAGTGAAAGTGGTGGGGGTGTGGAGGTGGTGGGTGAGTGAAAGTGGTGGGGGTGTGGAGGTGGTGGGGGTGTGGAGGTGGTGGGGGTGTGGGGGTGGTGGGGGTGTGGAGGTGGTGGGTGAGTGAAAGTGGTGGGGGTGTGTAGGTGGTGGGTGAGTGAAAGTGGTGGGGGTGTGGAGGTGGTGGGGGTGGGGGTGTGGAGGCTAAGATGAAGTTAGGTGGTACTGGGGGGGGAAGGTAGTGGAGATGTGGGTGAGGGTGGGTGCAATTAGTTGGGACATATCCTGCCTGGCCGCACGCACTAATTGTGTGTTGGGTGTGAGAACATGGACGGCTCAGACTGACACTATAAACGGCCTAGGTTAAGCCTGTACTATTGTTGTCGTGGACTCGCCCCGGGCCAAACTGTGTCGTTAAAATCTGGTGAAAATCTGGCACATTAGGATCGTAAACATCGGGGAGGCGGGGATAAAAGTGGGGGAGGATGAGGCAAACACAGGAGCGGGGGGGGGGGGAGTAATTATTGCCCACATTAATTTCTATTGGATAGCTTATCATTTCTGATCGAGATACTATTTTTTTAGATTCCCGCGCGTTTGACTCACGTGTGACAGCCAATTATAAAAGTAAAGTCTTAGTCTTCACGGTGACACTTAAATATAAAAGACACATTTCAACCTGGTGACCTTAATGAGGCTACCCTGGCGGTCAACAGTGTAGGTCAAGTAGAGTTCACCTGTTTTTGTGACATCGGCCTATGCAGAAATAGTGTGATCAGCACTCTGCCCAAACGTCTTTACATTAGTCAGCTACCCGTTATAGTGGAGTACATAATAATATGTACTTACAGACTTGAGACTGGATCCGAACTCACGCCTATCTGCTTAGGAGTTTTACGCTCTAACGTCCGACCACGTCATATCTAACAATGAAGTTTTAACTTATTCATACACAAATAAAAATAGTAGATGCAGTAAGTTTTATGTAAATAGTAATAAAACGGGTAGTGTTAGAAACTACAGTTACTGTGGACGTTTCGACCCAAGGTCTTCGTCAGCACACAACAGTGTGGTAAAGACCAGACAAAAAAGAGAAACTGTGACACAATTTTTGGACAGCTCGACAGTGGTAACACATCACGTCTAAAGACCACGATAACCAAATAAAGTAACGGGGTTTGGTAACGCTGAAAGTGTTTTGAAGACTTTATTTCCCCAATAGTTTGTCTAGTAATTGTAATGAAATTTCTGCCATTCGTATGTTGTAATTTTTGTTTTGTTTTTTGCTACATAACACTGCGTTTACACTAACGACGTGTATACCATACTCGCAACAAGTTAATGTTATTTAAAAACATTTTGATACAAAACATGAATAGTTACTTGAAGCGAGTGTTTTTGTTTCTAGACATGTATATTATACATGTCGCAAGTGTAAATACGGTGTAATTATGTATATATGTTTGATTTAATATCTTATGTTTTTTTAATGTGCGTATTGGTATTATTATCCTTGTGCATGTGTTTGTTGAGGAGACGGTTTTAAAGTTTCCCAAATCTCTAAACAACAGCTAAACCACTTTAATTAAAACTTAAAAAACTGAACTGCTGTAGTAGTGTATGAGAATGACAGGCACCATGCCTGGAATACAGACACAAGACCGACTAAAATGTCTTGGAGTGACCATGACTGGCACTAAGCCAAGGCTTAAATTACGGAGTTCTTGCAAGGGATTAGTGGAATATCGATCTGAAAACGGCGTTTATAGATGGACAAACTCCTGGACTTTACTCTCGTTAAGACAAAGCCGTCAAAATCCCCCGCGCTAGATAAGTACTCATATATATATATATATATATATATATATATATATATATATATATATATATATATATATATATATATATATATATATATATATATATATATATATATAACATAATATAATTTAACAGAGAGAGAGAGAGAGAGAGATAGGTATATATAATTTTATACACATTTCATCAGCATTATTATTTATTTATTATTATTCATTTCAAATGGTGATTAATTTCATGAGGTAAAAAAAGACATCTTAATTTTCTTAGTAATCTCTTTCTGATCAAACACAAGCTTTTCCAGATGATTGATTAAGACAATCTAATTAATGTAGGCCTACTTCAGAGAGATGAACAAATCATAGAAAATTGAAATGCCCAACCTGTTATAGTAAAAAAAAAAAAAAAAAAAAAAAAAAAAAAAAAAAAAAAAAAAAAAAAGGGAGATCAATCGCACTTTATTTCATTTTGTTTTTAAAACCGCCTTTGTTACTTTTTTCTTCTGTCAAGCAATTAGCTACCTTAGGATTGCAAATGTTTTTATAAGTATAATAAACCTTTCATAAATTCATAATAACATATTAAATTAATATTTACTTGTTTTAATTTTTTTTTAAATAGTTGCTTCATAATAAAAACAATGTAACTCAGTATGTTGCGATTGGATCATAGGGCAATATTTAACATTGTTAATTTGATAAGTCGCGAGTGTTTAATGAGGAAATAATGAGAGAAATAAATTTTAAACTGTTTTAATAATGGTAGTCAACAAACGACTGTCTGCTATTGGTGCATTGTTAATTTAAATTGTTAAAAAAATTACGCTAAAAAGAGTAAAATAGTTCGGAAGTTTAGTTGATAGAAGTAGAACATAAAAGACTACAAATTAAAAGGATAGGATAGGATTTAGTATTTAGAAAGACATGTTTTTTTTTATTGCAGGGGCAATAAACAAGGAAATAAAGATTTTCTGCGTAATGTATGATTATCTCCCTTTGACCGTATACATTTTATGAGGATAAAATTCCATACAAATAATTCAGGATAAAAAACTTAAATAAAAGAAAGTCCCATGATGAAATATCTAAAGATAAAAATTCCTAAGTATATACTGACAATTAAGCAGCACGAAATAAATCAGCCAATGCCGCTACTTTTGGTTTACATATAACTGAATATTCAACCAACACAGATGTGTCCTATAACTGACACGATGGTTGAGATGTGTCCTATAACTGACACGAGTGTTGGGTTGTGTCCTATAACTGACACGAGTGTTGGGATGTGTCGTATAACTGACACGAGTGTTGGGTTGTGTCCTATAACTCACACGAGTGTTGGGTTGTGTCCTATAACTGACACGAGTTTTGGGATGTGTCGTATAACTGACACGAGTGTTGGGATGTGTCGTATAACTGACACGAGTGTTGGGTTGTGTCCTATAACTGACACGAGTGTTGGGATGTGTCGTATAACTGACACGAGTGTTGGGATGTGTCGTATAACTGACACGAGTGTTGGGATGTGTCTTATAACTGACACGAGTTTTGGGATGTGTCCATTAACTGACACGACAGTTGGCATGTGAGGCGACTGTGCCGGTTCGAACCTTTACGTCATGTTACTGACGCCCTTACGAGCCAGGTTGTACTATGTACCAGGGAAGAAGGAAGTCGGGTACTAGACGGTGGGGTACGAGTTAACCCAGCGTTCAGTGGGGTGGAAGGTAAGTCTTGGGAGAACAGAAGAACAGTAACGACCGATACACGGTAATCAAACCGCTATTCAAGCCAGTTAGTCGGAGTTTGCCGTGTTGAGGCCTGCCTGGCTAATGGGAGACACCTCCTGAGCTGGTGATGTCCGTAAATAAAAGAAAGTTAAAACCGTTTCGGTTACCGCATTTTTCAAGTTCTAATTTATTTTAACCTTTGAAATATTTTATGATGTCGTGATGTTGTTTTATTGAAGTCCCTTTGATGTGATGTTAATGGCATATTGAAGATTGCAATTCCATGTTGATATTTTCTTGATGCCATTTTGATATTGAGTTCATGTAATGTTGATGTAATGTTGATGTAATGTTGATGTAATGTTGATGTAATGTTGATGTAATGTTGATGTAATGTTATGAATACCCGCCCACCCAATCAATAACCTCAGGTTATATATCTCTCTCTCCCTCAGACCTTGGGACATTTCAAGGCAGACCAGCGTGACGTCGATCGATTACGACGATGACGTCATCCGTTACATGGAGGGCGCGGACAACGGATCGGAGTACGCGGAGGACTACCGGATGAGGGAGGACGTGCTCCCCTCCCCTCCCATCTCCCCCCGGATGTGGGCGACGTTTGATGACGACGGTGACATTGCCGACAGCGACGAATCCTTGAGTGAGTATCAACATCCGCTGACCTTAGCCCGTTGATTGGTTCATCCTCATCACGTGACTTTTAAATCTAAAACACAAACCGGTGGGGGACACTGGAGAAAACAAGATAAGGAAGGTCAATTTTACACGATCAGGGTAGACTCGAACTTCACCCCATCCCCTTCTCACAGTGGGTTACCCCCTTACCCTAACCTTAAGCACATTTGCTTTCAGGCATCTTTCCACCACTCTGCCCCCTCTCCATTCGGGCTACATGGGAAAACATTTTTAATAGAAAATATATACTTTAACTTAAAGTTAAACAGTGTTGTTGAAACGAAAATTCAGGGTGCCCCCCTCGAAAGTTTCTAGACCCCCCCCCCTTACCCGGGAAAAAATGTCAGAAAGAAACCCTGACCGTTAGATGTGCCACACTATCACCCCTTCCACACAGCACAGCCGTCATGCGCTTGTCCCTTTACCTATTACTGTTGAGAGAACAAGTCAAGAACACCATCTTCTATGTAAAGTTTCTAAAGCTGACATCAAATCGGGTGATACACAGCGTCTAATGAACATGCGCGACCTTAATGAGCACTGCTCATACAAGCCCGGTATGTAAGCGACCTGTAAGCTACCTGTAAGCTACCTGTAAGCGTACCTGTAACCCTGCCTGTCAGCCCAGCCTTAAGACACCTGCATCTACTACTCCATACAGCTCTTCTAGACTGCTTTCCTAACCTAGCCTCATATGCAGCTTTTTTTAATATAGAGGTCACTTAGGTCGAACGTTGCGAGTTAATCAAGGATTATAATTAGTCCGTAAAAATGGAGATTCGATTAACTACGTGACGTCATAACGATATGGGTGTGGAAGAAGGAGTGGGGGTAATGAGGATCGTCTGCTAGACTAATTGCCAGAACTCATTTATAATAGCGTCTATATTGCCTTGCTTATAACTGCGTCGGTATAAAACGTTTATAATCGTGTCTTTATCAACCTGTTTATACCAGCGTCTAAATTAACCGTTTATAATCGTTGCTGTACCGGTTGATTTGACCTGCAATTTGTCTGTGCATGTTACTTTACCTGTGAGTTTAGTACCTAGTGCATTTTTCACCTTATGTTTTACCCCCTCTATAATCATGTAATAAGCCAACTCGTTTAACCTGAATCATCTCCCCTGTTTACAGATATATTGGACGACGTTGGCTCCACACTCAAGCCTAAATTCTACAAGCTACGGGTAAGCCATCCTTTAAGTTGTCTCCCTTTAGTCTGGTAAGCTACCATGTAAAGTTGTCCCCCTTTAGTCTGGTAAGCCACCATCTAAAGTTGTCTCCCTTTAGTCTGGTAAGCCACCATCTAAAGTTGTCCCCCTTTAGTCTGGTAAGCTACCTTCTAAAGTTGTCTCCCTTTAGGAAGTCCTTAGGCTTTTTACCTTTATTTTTACACTAAATTATGTGTCATACCATTTTTTATCCGAATCTTCTTACCAAACACTAGGGAAAGTTGCCTTTTGTGTGGATAAAACTATTTAGTTTTTTTTTTTTTTTTAAAGCAATCTCTTGATAAATACCATTATATATATATATATATATATATATATATATATATATATATATATATATATATATGTATATATATATATATATATATATATATATATATATATATATATATATATATATATATATATATATATATATATATATATATATATATATATATTTATATAATCCCAATACAATCATGGTATTAAAAGTAGAAAGGCCTACACTTTATTGGATAAAAACGTGGTAAATCCAAACTGAGCTAACCAAAAACAAATCCGCTACTGTTGTTAGATCAATTGTGTCTAGGACGTGCCAATCTGGCTTATCGGCCCTCGCTGCCCACCCCGCCCTGAGCTGGAAATGTCAGATGGTATCGACGCCTCGACCGGCCCCGATCATTGGACCGGCGGGTCGGGCACGTCAAATGCCACTCACTCACGCCGGTCGCTAAATGTTTGATGCCGATAACTGCCCAGGTTTTTGCATGCGCGTGCACGGACGCCTCCAGATATGATCCGGGGATTCCCTCAACCTTCTGGCACCGGCCGCCGCTCCGTGACGCAACTATTTCTTCCGGCGTGTTGTCGGATGTGTGAGTAGAAATACCACACGATTATAACCAGTACACAATCGGTTGCACGGTTTTACCCTTAGTAAGTGTTTGAGATAAATAGCTGCCAATACAGTAGATAGTTTTTGAACGAAACGAAATTCAGGCGTAGTCTACACACGACTTGAGTGATAATCTTTAACCATTTTTAGAGGGGGGGGGTGCGGAGATAAACTTAGATTTTTTTTGATTGTTGCAATTACAGTTTTAAACATATGCTCTGCGAGTTGTATAACAATAGAGACCTATAATAACAGAGACCTGAAACTGAGCTCTACGAGATACAGTACAGGGACCTATAATTGAGACATAACAGAGACCTATAACAGAGAGATAACAGAGACCTATGACTGAGATCTATAGAGGAAACTGACCTAACCCGGGAACTGCAATGGAACCACTAACTGACTGACTCTCAGTCCAATGACTGACTGACTCTCAGACCAATAACTGACTCCAAGACCAATAACTGACTCTCAGTCCAATGACTGACTCCCAGACCAATAACTGACTGACTCTCAGACAAATGACTGACTGACTCTCAGACCAATGACTGACTGACTGACTCTCAGACCAATGACTGACTGACTCTCAGACCAATAACTGACTGACTAAATACGACCTGGTTTTGTAAAGTGGCACCACTGGCTGGAGCCATCACACTGAGCCAATATTGATTTCACCTAATCAGCATAATTGAGTGGAGCAGTCGATAAGTAGGTTTGTTCCCCGGATGTTTGTATACGGGCTGTTAGTGTGTAGGCTGTTTGTATGTAGGCTGTTTGTATGTGAGCTGGTTGCATGTAGCATGTTTGTAAGCAGGCGTTTTGTGGACTGACTGGCCACCCTGTTAGGATAGTTTCAAGATAAATATTTGTTTTAGCTACTTTCTCTTCCGGTCTTTTTCGTTTATTTACGGTGATTTGGGTTCTGTAGCTGAACATAGTCACATTGAAATCAGCTCCGTGTGAACAACGGCCATGTTGAAAGGTACTCAGTGCTCGACATAAAATACAAATATAAATTAGATTTACTTAAAGAATAACCTTGTTGCCATTCATCTGCAAACTGAATGAGGACCCACACGAGTTAACACCAACATGGCATAATTACTCACGCTCATGCGCTTTCAAACACACACACACACACACACACATTTAGAGGAAAACTTGATACACCAACAAGTACGACATATACACATACTCACACACCCACACTCACATATACATACACACATACGTCTGTCAGAACTAAACACACACGAACACGCACACATGCTCAAACTTGTACATATACTCACGCTCGCACACATACACAACTAGACCAACGAGAGCAATAGATTATCCGCAGAGATTATCCACGGTGATTATCGATCTTTCCAAACATCTCACCTCCAGCATCCCCCACCCCCACACCTCCCCGCCCTGCAGGTACCTGTGACAGGCACCCCAACAGTTATGGACCACCTGAGTGGAATCACTCAACACCCTGTTCGCTCACGTGTCAAAACAAAACCTGTGATCGCGCAACCGGAAGTAAAGATTCAAAATGGCGCATCCTTTGTTGTTCACGAGCCGGTCGGTGGGATACACAATGGTGTCGAGACAATCCGGGATCTCACGGCACATCTTGTCTAGAATAAATAATCGTGTCATTTCACACCCGATCTTATCCCTTTTGTACATATCGGATGTAAATTCTTGTAAATACAATCCCAATGGAGCATTGCTGTCATTTCTAGTGCGCTATATTTAGTGAATTAATTACAGACCAATGCATTCAACATACCAACACTTATATCTATTTACAAATACACACAATTATATATATATATATATATATATATATATATATATATATATATATATATATATATATATATATATATATATATATATATATATATACATATATACATATATATATATATATATACATATATATATATATATACATATATATATATATATATATATATATATATATATATATATATATATATATATATATATATATATATATATATATATATATATATATATATATATATATATATATATATATATATTGTCGAAGCTAGACGCAATCCAAATGGACCGAGTAATTTTATATTGTTACACCATTTCTTTTATCAAGACTTGTCGTGTACCGACAGTTCGTGTTTCCAATAGAAATCAAATAGCACCGCGAGACGTGGAAGTTTCGCCGTTTGTGTCACGGCATTCACCATTTGTGACGTGACGTTATCGCGACGTGTAACACATACCACGACGATGTAAACTATCTGGCTCTTTACTGTGGAGCTACTGGTACAAGACCTTTTGTTTATCTAACATAATGTCCGCGTGTTTTCACATGGCCTAAAATATAAACAAGAAATCGATACTTCCAAATGGAATACATTACAAAATCTCTTGTATCATGCTTAAACTTTTATCCCATAAACAAATATCCCAAGATATTATCTTTATACTGTATGTATTGGCGTGAGGCAGACATTTCAAATGTCGTGTTTTCCCCGTCATTGCTTCCAACCGTTCTAAAAGTTTAATCCTGTTGAATAAAAACACGTCGCTATCTGTTCTTTGCGTGCCTCTACATTCTTCTCCACTGGGTGTTGTTTTTGTTGCGTAACCCTGGGGATAATCCCCTCCGGTGAGCGCTTGTCCGTTGGTGTTCATGGCTGGTCATAACATTGTGGGTTAGATATCTGACAGCCCATTTCTGATCGTAACATTGTGGATTTGATATCTGACAACCCATGTCACTCCATAACATTGTGGATCTGATATCTGACAGCCCAAGTTGTTCATAACATTGTGGATCTGATATCTGACAGCCCAAGTTGTTCATAACATCGTGGATCTGATATCTGACAGCGAAAGTTGTTCATAACATTGTGGATCTGATATCTGTCAGCTCATGTCTGACCATAAAATTGTGGATCTGATATCTGTCAGCTCATGTCTGACCATAAAATTGTGGATTTGATATCTGACAGCCCAAGCCCAAGTCTGATCATAGAATTACCTATTTGAAATCTGAAAACGAAACGTAATGAAATCTCACTGCTACCTGTGGTGTCTACCTTTGTACGTTCTATAGCACGCTACAGTCCTAGCGTAAGTAGCTAGTAACTACCATCAGGCACTATCGTGCTGATATATTGCTGTGGTTGTAGACCATATTGCGTGTATTTCTGGCAAGGATTAAGCTAGGATTTTCTTCGGTTCAAAATGTGCAGGATTTTCTCAGCTTTTCTCTCAACCAATGCTCCAATGTGGTGTGTTCTAATAGAATGTTCTAGCACGATACTTGCCCGGTGAGCAGATCAATTGTTATTCTGAGTGCAACATCGTGTTGATTAATCTGTGATTAGTTACAGTTTTAGAATGTTTGTATTATAATCTTGTAGCGGCTTACACAAGTTGTTTACTCACATAAAAAAGCGTGGAAAGCAGTCAAGCATAGAATGGTTTCAGTGCTGGATTTATTTGTGTGGGTTTCAATCAGTTGAAAAGTAAATGTCGGGCTTCTGAAGGGCGGCATAGAGCTAATGCAGGGATGAATAGGATTATAACACAAAAGGGAGAAGATTATCAGACTGGATTATAACACAATAATGGAGAGGATTATAAGACTGGGTTGACTGAGTTGACATATTGTGGCAGAGAATTTTTACACTTTGAGTTTGGGAATTAGAATAGAGTGGTGAAGGGGGTGTCGTATGTTATTAAAAGATTTAAAGAGATTATAGATAATCAAATATTTTTCGCCTGTTTCGTAATGTGAGTTTTATTTTTATAAATCTTTTTTTTTTCCATTTGTTAGATTTTTTCCATTTTATAAAAAAAGCCCATTATTATATTTTTAAAAACTCACAAGCAAACACAGAAATTACAACTAGATTATCCAGACATTAGCGCTAGAATTGGATGTGCAAGGAGCAATGTGTATTGGCTGTGATGTTTTACGTTTTGCATTGGTTGTAGGCTTTGAGGTTTTGAATTATTGAGTCGTTTGAAACGTGTTTTTGACAATTTTGGTATTTAATTAGGTTAAAATAAAATTTAAACAGAA